GTGTGTGTGTGTGTGTGTGTGTGTGTGTGTGTGTGCCTCAGAAAAGACTTTGTACTTTTATGAGTGTGTGTGAAGAACTGGTATAGTACAAAATAGTGCTCTCAGACTTTTTTTCTAATTATTTCCGGCAAAATATGAAGTAGCACAACTATTTTCAACATTGATAATAATAAGAAATGTTTATTGAGCAGCAAATCAGAATATTAGAATGATTTCTGAAGGATCATGTGACACTGAAGACTGGAGTAATGATACTGAAAATCACAGGAATAAAGTACATAAAAACAATTCAAATAGAAAAAAAACTATTTTCAATTGTAATAATATTTCACAATATTACTTTTTTTTTTACTGTATTATTGATTAAATAAATGCATCCTTGGTGAACAAAAGAAACTTTTTTCAAAACATTAAAAAAACTTAACTTAGTCACCCTACACTTCTGAAGGCTATTGTATAAATGCAAAATAAATACAGTTTCAAGGTTTTTGAAAATATATTTATGGTCTGTAGCATCTGCCCCTTTGTGCTTAGGACCTCTAAACTATATAATCATATTCACACGCACTTAGCTTATGGTTTATAAAAACATATTACAGAGAAACTACTACTGTTATACTTTAAATAGAGCTTAAAGAGCAATAGCTCTGTCACTGAGGAGCTCGACAATCTCAAAATCTGATCTAATATGCTCCATCTACACAAGACAATGTGTTCGCAACTGACTTTACTTCCATAGTCTGATGCACCAATGAATCAGTGACAATAAGACCATTAAAAAGGGTCAGTCTGATGTGTGCTGACATGATTTGTCCAGTGTGTGAAAGACCAGTCAAGATCTGGGTCCTTTCTGGACCGAAGCATCCATGGTCTCATTTAAGCCAAAGACAGAGGAAATTGAGGTAATTCCTGTTAAAGGGATAGTTTACCCAAAAATGAAATGATTCTTTCTTCTGTAGAACACAAAAGAAGAGATTTTGAAGAACGTTGGTGACCAAACATTTTACGGTAGCCATCGACTTCCATAGCATTTTTTTCCATACTACGGAAGTCAATCAACAGGCAACCATCAACAGTTTGAATTTTCATTTTTGGGTGAACTATTCCTTTTAACAAACCTCCACTCATGGCAGTCAGAATTGAAGCCTCGAAAAACACTCTATCCCCCCGTTTAGCAACAGGCAGGTTTCCGATGCGAGGAGCTCACGGACATAAAGTTAGTGAAGAAACATCAGACAATTGGACAACAACGATAATGAGGGGAGCTAATTTATTCACCATTTGACATTCAAGGAATGCCAATAAGATATTTAAATATCATCAAACTTACTTGGAGATGGCACGGCTGCTGTGTTGCCATGGGAACAGGACATTTCCGATGGCGGCACGATAGCTGTAAACTCCGAGCAGGCCGAGAGCCAGAGCGATCTTAGACACCAGCGAGCAGTGACGCTGAACCAGGAGAAAGATCAGAACCAGAGACACCGCCGCCAACACAGAGAGGAACGCCTTATGATCCCCACTGAAAACACACACACACACGGTGCATAAATAACAAGGCAGACATGTTCTCGTTATATGCATGCAAACGTTGAATATAAAACAGCAGAATGACAATGCCCATGTGATTTGAACTCAAAACAAACACTGTATGACAGCATAAACAGGCATGATGCAACAAATCTTCCATGTTAAGCTGAATTTCTGTACAATAACACACTTTGTTGGCGTTTCCGTTTGGATTTCTGTCATGTCGGAAATCTCACTGCTCCAAATACGTTGCGTTCCATTTAACTCAGAATTTCACATTTATTGCTTGGAAAAGTGCAACGGAATGACAAGTTGCAATAGAGAATGTAACTTGGGAACTTGGAAATCCACAACTACTTTGTCTTGGCACTGAGATTAATGATAAACAATCACATTTAAGCAAATAAAATGCATCAAGGAGTCAAAGGTCCTATGTTAAATGGACCTGATTAGCGAAAGTCTGCCAGGACAGATGCAAAAAAACATGGTAAAAGGTTGAACACTCTATGCTATGTTTGTCGTTTTGTTCAAACTCTCAAAATAGCTTCTCAAATGAGAAATCAAATGCTCAAATTAGGGTTGGGCAATGCCTACAAAATTGGCATCGGACAATGTCTACAGTGAAACATTGCGATGGACGATGACATCGGCAGGGGCGAGCGGGAGGGAGGGGGTTGGAGTTAGGGGGTGTGCCCGAAGCGTGAATCCTTATAAGGGAAAACACTATTCCTAACACTGTGTCTACACCGGACGCGAGCGGTGCGGCACGACAAAATACTATAGAACCACTGATCTATAATAGAGATATATTATATATAGATCAGTCTATAGAACTCATTATAATCAGTGATGCTGTCTACACTGGATGCGGCGCGGCACGACACGACAAATCCCCAACAGTAAACTGCTGCCGCGTTCTATTTATGACGTGCTGACACAAATTTCAAATGATTTTCAACGGTTGCTTTGTCGTGTCGTGTAGACAGACTTTAGCTGATGTGGCGCAGCGCAACACAACTGTCGTGTCCGGTGTAGACACTGTGTAGCGGTTGCCTTACACTATGTACATTACAGTATATAAAATGTCACTTACCACATAAACAGAGTAAGGAGAGATGACTGAGGACGATGGCGAATGATTTGCAGATCCTCAGTACCACTGACAAACATATAATCTTGTCAAATGTGTGGCAAGTACTACCGCTCCATAGTATAAACAGAGTACGTGTGATCACGAATCTCGAAAGTGAAAGTGAAACTAAAAGTGATCGTGCATTCAAAAGCACGATGCCAGTTTCAATGCCAGGTATAATAGCGGCTCCCTCATGCCAAAATATATATGTAGTATAATTACCCAATTATATAACTGCGAGGAAAAATATTGAAATATATATTTTCCTCCCATCTCGTATTTATTCCCTTTAGGGGTTCCGCCTACCAGTCATTTTCTTTCCGAACGTGGTATTGGGATGCTGGGGGAATGGGGGGGGTGGGGTGGATCACGATGCCGGCTCAACATTGTGACATCTATCAGCCATCGGCGATGGATGATGGCATCGTCTATCGGCCCAACCCTAGCTCAAATGCAATTTCATTTCCTCATTCTGGGAAGCATGAACTGTATTAAAAATCATTTGTATTTGATATATAATTTTCGTTCCCAACCCAGTATAAACCTGTCATAAATAAATCTATAATTCAATGCTCAAATCATAAAAATCAAATGCTCAAACCTAAATTGCAAATACTAAATCACCCCACAAAGCATTAAAAAAAAAACAAGATAAAATAAAATACCATTAACAATAAAATACTATTAACTTTAAGTCATTGTTTACCCATCCCAATACAATATAAAAATATAAAATATAAAAAAAGAGAATGTTATCATAAGTTTGGCTAACGTTGTGGCAAGACTCTCTCAAAATTATGAACAATGTTCTCCCAGTAACATTAACTGAACGTTTATTCAAAGTTCTCTGTTCTTTAATAATGTTCTTAAAATGTTTGCACAAAAACTTTCTTTGCACATCGTTCATGGAACTTTTTTTTCTGAAACATTTTAGTTGGATGTCTAACAAAACTCTGATGAACATGGAAAATATACCTTTTATCGTCTGTCACAGCATTGCGATGTATCTGGTTAGGACACGGTGTAACTTTTTTTAAATGCTAGTATTTCTTTCTGAACGTTCATAGAACATTCAAAAGTGACGCTTATATAATGTTTTCAAAATGATAAAATGGAATGTTTCCATAACGTTTGCATAAAAGTTTTTAAAACACTTATAAACTGGATTCTTTTAATGTTGTTTTCTGTTGTATCACTATCTAGAGAACAGAGCAACCAATGGCTCATACACTCCTGATATATACATAATACAATTCAAAAACAAAGCAAATGAGATTACACTTTTTACACAACATTACACTTTTCTAGATTATATTTATTATATTTAACAATATTTACAAAACTCACAAAAAATTATTTTGGAACTGACACAAGAGGGAGGTAACATGTCTAATTATTGATATTAATGTCATAAATCTTAAGTACTGTCAGATGTATCAGCCTATCAGAATTCAGGAGGCAGAGAAACTGAGCCACCGTGTGTGTGTGTGTGTGTGTGTGTGTGTGTGTGTGTGTGTGTGTGTGTGTGTGTGTGTGTGTGTGTGTCTGTGTGTGTGTCTGTGTGTGTGAGTGAGTGAGTGAGTGAGTTTGTGTTCAGAATGCAGCTGGAGTGCTCCTCTCATCTAAGGTAATCAGGTGTGGGCCACACAGGCCAGGCCAAAAGGTGTGCATGTGTGTGTGGGTCAGCAGTGCGGACATGATGAGGTGTGTGTTCTGGAGTGAAGCAGAGACGAGTGTGTGTGTGTGTGTGTGTGTGTGTGTGTGTGTGTGTGTGTGTGTGTGTAGTGTAGTGAAGTGAAGTGAAGGAAAGGTAAGTGCTAAAAGTGTGCATGAATGTGGCTCTGACATGAAGCCACACAATCTACTGCTCATTACCCACAGAACAAACAGACAGAGGCTCTGTTCCAACACCTAGTGATCCACTTTGCTGTCTACAGCCTACATAGGCAGCTGTCCTCTACAGGCAATATCCTAACTGAACCTTTTAAGTGACTCATTTGGAAAGCTCTATATGGTGAGAGACTACTCATTAGGTGTGTATAAAATTTGCATTAGCAAATATTTGTATACCTACTATTCATAATCAAATGAAATGTATGTTCTTATTCATAACCAGTTCCATTTAAATAACATAACATAACATAACATAACATAACATAACATAACAACATACTGGAACTGAATAATTTTCACAAACTTCAACCAGTGTTATTTTAGTATTATTTATATATTGTTATAGTATTTATTAATATACTGAATTAGCTTTTGTTGTTATATTTTCAGATTTCATTATACATTTTAAAGGTTTTAGTAGATGCATGTTTTTGCCATTTTTATTCATTTCTTAATAACTGTTTAGTTGAAAATATTTTTTTTAAATAAATTTCATTTATATTTATTTGAGTTTTAGCTTTAGTAATTTTCAAATTAATTCTAATTTACATATTACAGTATTTATCAATACTTTGAATTAGCTTCTGTTTTCATATTTTCAGTTTTCATTTTAATTTTAAAGTTTTAGTAATGTTGTTGTGTGCTTTTGTAATTTTTATTCGTTTTTTCATATTTCTATTTAGATTTGATGTATTTTTATTGCATTTTTATTTTAGTGATTTTAAGCTTATTTATTATTTATGTATTAGAATTTATTAACATTTTGAACTAGCTTGTTTTTATATTTTCAGCTTTCATTTTAATTGTAGTTAATTTTAAAAGTTATTTCTATTTTAGTTTTTATTTCTGTGTTAGTTGTAATCATCATATGTCGTAATCATCATTGTTTAACATGGTGCTTGAGCATCTACATTTTTCTGACACAATATATATATATACATATATATATATATTTTTTTTTTTTTTGACAATACTTTATTAATCTAATGGTATAAATTTGCGTGTTATACTGAGTGTCCAACAACCTGTACACTTAGACAGTCAACACTGCAAATGGCACCCCTAGGAAGGGTTCTTTCGTCATTTTTCAGTCAAATCAACTTCTAAAAGCACACTGATTTGACTTAGGTGTGACTAAAGCTAGTCATCCACATTGAGACATCTAAAATAATGTGACAATATCCCAAGTAAAATCTTTAATGTTCTCCCTAAAACATTCATCCAAGTTGAGAAAAGGTTGGCTATTTGCAGATATATATATTTTTTTTTTTTTTTTTTTGACAATACTTCATTATTCAGTACTGCTACTGAATCTAAAGCATCACATTAAATGAAATCAGGTTTTAGCGGAGTTGTGGGTTTGTGGTTGAAGAATGAACACCACAAAATTAAGACAATAATTAGACCACACATATTTATATTGCATTGCTCTCACAAGCTTATGGTGTCCTATATAATCTGACTTGTAAAGAACTCATTTTAAAGTAGCTCTTTTAATGAATCATTAAAAAAAATTAAAAATCAGCCTGAATCAGTCTAACAAGTACTTGAAATTTCAAGTCATTACTATTGTCATGTCCAACTCAAAATGAACTGAATCAAATTATTTGAGATGTTAAAAATGTTCTAAAAATACTCAAACTCTAGGGGTTACTAATCAGTTTACTGATTACAATTACTGATTGACCACAAAACAACGTGAAGTTAAAGACAGCTTTGTCCTAAAAATGAAACTTTAATAAAATAAACGTTACTCAACACTGGCGCTGATTTTGTTTAGTATATTCAATATATACTTAGGACCAATTATTTGGGTGAAAGGAGGGAGCAGACAGTGAGAGAGTGAGACTGTGAGAGATGAATGAGGAAAGAAAGAATGAGGTAGAGAGGGCGCTGACAGGGCACGCAAGAAAGGAAGTAGAGGAAAAAAGACTGATAACACAGACGGAGAGAGAAATTTTCATCCT